CTTAACAACTTTTATAACACACGCTATAAATCACAGTGATTCACACGCTTTACTTGTGGTGCCTACTGTTGCTTGACTCAATTATTTATCTGCCGCTGGCTTTCTTTGCCAGGCTTATATATATATTAAAAAAGATTACATCTGGATCACACTCGAGCTGGCGGGCAAATTCATGATTTTTAGAGAAACTCCAGAGCGCATGCTCCCAGAGTCACGTGACTTCCGCTGTCATAACAGTATTCTCACAAATATGGCGCTATTATGCGCCGTTTTCGCTGTATTTAATTACAGACAAGCAAACAAACAAACAAACAATCTCAGAGTTTTAGCAGTATATACATATTCAAAGGTATATTAAATAGTTTTTATTTTGATAAATCATCAGCTACTAATACTAGTAATGATTTTATTTTTGATGTACAAAAAAGAAGATATAAATCCACTATTAATTTACAGAAAAATATTTATTGTTAATATTACGTTAATATTAAGTTAATGTTTACTGGATAAAAATAATGATATTTCAAAATACATTTGTATATTGTACATCAATAATATATTCTTAAAATATTTCTGCATATATTTAAATATTTTTAGGAAGTATACAGTTTTTATAATGTCAGTATATTCTAAGTATATGTTTGAATATAGTTTGAAATATATTTTAATATTTGTATTGAATTAGCATTCTTAAGTTGATATAGTTTCATAGTTCTTGGTTCGGAAGCAGCGAGGCACTTAAGCAAGTTACTCAACTTTCCCTTTGTCTAATGCACATTACATGTGTATTCACTAATTAGTTGTTATCCATCACATCTTTTCATTCGGAAAATATAATTTGTAAGTTGTGAATGAAAGAGAAAAAGTTGTTTTTCTTGTTGGCGAATCAGATAATTTTTAGAAGTAGCCACGACTGGTATGCTGAGAATGCAAGGGTATGGGCTGCTCGCAAAACTTGGGGCCGTGTGCAAGGTTGGCTTTGCTTAATGCATATATAAAACCACGTTTGCTACCAGTAAAGAAGTTAAAGAACTTAGAGAATTTTGGGGACTTACTTAGGACTGATTTAACTTTTAGTTTTGGTTTACTTTAATGTTTACTTTTAGATCGCAACATAATGACTTTTGAAGGAGTTGGAGTTTGTTTGGGTTAACTTTTAGCCTTAAGCATTCAGATTTTCTGTTTTATTTTAAAATAATTTGTCAGAATTACTTTTATTTCAATTTTAACTTGATTTTAGTGTATCTTGTAAGGGGACACATTGAGCAGCTGGTAAGAGAAACTATTAAATGTTTTCACACATTTTTCACCAGTTCAGCATATCCACAAGACATTTAAAAATACTTGTGAATTTGCTTGTTGTCTCTTTCTGTACGATGACAAAGTTAGGGGAGAAATACATTCTCTAACTCAATTTCCATGAGCCTTCAATTAGTGGGCCTTAACTGACTACTATGAATTATAAGTATAACTTGGATGGGAATAACCTTAACAGATTCATGAAAGAAAGGGATCTTGCTGTAATGGTTAATCAGTCTCTTAAGTCATACTAGCAGTATGCTGTTGCTAAATGTAAGACAAATGGGATTTTAGGTTGTATCTACAGAAATATTGAACACAAGTCTGAAGAAGTCATAATTTCATTTTATAGGTCACTGGTTAGGCCAATTTGGAGTATTGGGTTCTGTCTTGGGCTTCTTGCTTTAGGAAGGGCATTGAATTATTGGAAAGGGTTCAGAGGAGGGTTACTAGAATGGTGCCTGGGATGAAAGGGTTGTCATACGAAGCGAAGTTGAGATCTCTCAAGTTGTTTCCTCTTCAAAAAAGAAGAGTTAGGTTGGATCTGATTGAGGTGTTTAAGATTATAAAGGCAATTGATAGTGTTGATGCATCTTATTTTTTCATACTTAACAGTGAGAATAGTAGAACTAGGGGACACAAATATAAATTTTGGCAGGGTAGGAGTCATCTTCAGCTAAGACAGTTTTATTTTTCTGACAGGATGGTTTGCCTTTGGAATGGATTGCTTTCGGATGTTGTGGAGGCAGTAAATTTAAGTAAGTTTAAAAGAAAGCTTGATAAATATATGAATGATAAGGGTCCGGCTAGCTGTAAGATTTTTTAATTTATTTATTTAATTATGTTAGTTTAGTTTAGAGCAGCGTTTCCCAAAGTGTGGTCGTGACCCGGTATCGGTCTATGATATATAAAAAAAAATGCTGGTCCGCAGAAAACTAAAAAAATTAAATTAAATTAATTTTAACCCTTTTACTACCAACCGCCATTTTTAAACTTTCTCCAATCCCTTGTTGTAAATTAAAGAAAAATGTAATTAAACCAGTTAATATAAATATATTCTAATAAAATTAATATTTTCAAATACATTATAATTTAAATTTTCATTTCATCTAACTTGGATTTATCAGTATTTCAACTAACCTAATAAAACAGTAAGGGAAAGTGAAAGTTTGTACTTAAGGCTACGAAACTATAGAATTCACAAGTTGATCCCTCAGGAATTAAAGGTGTTCTCACTTAGTGCAAGTTAGAGAGCCTAAGATTAAGTTTTAAGGTGTTGATAACCTTGAGATTCTTGTGAAATGCCTTCCCCTATCTGCAGGTAAGATCAAAGAAGGAATTTTGTCTCACATAAAAGGACCATTTGTTCATTCAAGTTAACTGGTTCTTCGACACCAAAGTTTTAGGAATTTTATTCCAAATGTGTTAAATTTGCTTACTCTGTTAATGGAAATTGACAAGCATGGGAAGCCTGAGTGGCAGCAGGCAAGTTGCTGGTGGCAGGTACTATAAGCGTCAGTTTGTTCTGAGAAGAGAGAGAATTGTTTGTGACTTAGTTTGTACTAACTAAAGAAAAATTAAGTTGTTCATTTTTAAGAAAACCCCTCTTCAATATGGATAGATGGCTGAAGAAACATGCATCACACAAGAAAATATCAAGTGATGAGCAAATGCAACCTAGTTCTAATGAAACTGAAGTTAGTGAAAATAATAGGCCTAATTATAAACATTTAAATGATGTGCAGCTTGGTATCAAAGAAAAGAAAACAAAGACCTCTTGGACAGTATTGTGATGAATATTTGAAGTATGGTTTTATAAGTGGTGGTAGCAATAATGACTTGCCACTATGTATTCTTTGTTGTTCAACATTATCAAATGAGAGCATGAAACCATCGAAACTGAAACGCCACTTGGATACCAGACATCCAGAATACTCGAGTAAGCCAATGTTATTTTTTCATGAATAAGAAAAATGAAATAGTTTTTTCCAAACAAATAATTTCACACACTTTTTCCACGAGATCTTTCAATGAAGACTTGGTTACGGCCTCGTATGAAATTTGCCCCCAGTGGCATAGCGGTATGTCTGCGGACTTACAACGCTAGAATCCGGGTTTCGATACCCATGGTGGCCAGAGCACAGATAGCTCATTGTGTAGCTTTGTGCTTAACTCCAAACAAACAAACATATGAAATTTCAAAACTAATAGCAGAGACAGGTTATCCGCATACTGTTGATGAAACGTTGATACTTCCTGCAGTAAAAATAACTACATCTCGTGTTTATAAAAAACAAGAAAATCAGTTGAATTTACTGTCCCTATCTAATAATACAGTGAAGTGTAGATTTGTGAATATGGCGAAAAATACTGAAGAAATTCTTATACGTCGAGTTCACTATAGTCAGTTTTTTCATTACAAGTGGATGAAAGCACTTTCAACAAGAACAACGGCTGATGAAATTTTTAATTTAATCAATAATTTTATAATTCAGAGTGGTATTCAATGGAAAAATTTTTGGATTGAGTACCGATGGTGCTCGCTCAATGGCTGATTCCCATACAAGAATTTTCCAGAGGATCCGAGCAGTGACACCAGACTGTGAATGGGTGCATTGTAGCATTCACAAAGAGGCGTTAGCTGTGAAGAAAATTCCCTTACTTTTGAATTCAACTATGCAAGAATGTGTTAAATTCATAAACTATATAAGATCTTGTTCGTTGAATTCCAGAATTATTACTGCTTTGTGCAAAGAACTAGGAAGTGAACACGAGCATCTCCTATTACACTGTGAAGTTCGGTGGTTATCAG